AGGGGTAGAAGGCTGGAATTTGGTCCCCTCCCAGAGAAGGCAGTGGGCAGCAGCTGTCCCTTGGTGGTGTTGAATCCTTAGATGAAGTCAGGAGAAGTCTCATGAGCATTGAGGGGCTGGAAAAAAAATACTAGAGAGCAAATAAATATGGCAAGAGGAAGGACTTGGGCTGAAAATGTTGGTAGAAATGTCCCTAGCTACTTCTGACATCTGGCTACTAGGTAGAGAAGTCAGGTGACAAAGGCAAGAATATAAATTCCTGTCCAGTTAATAGGTAGACAGGTATAGACATTGGATGGGCAGGCTTCTTACTTCTACTGACCTCCTGGCTCTGGTTAATTTTGAAAGGGTAGGCACAAAGTTGCTGATGTGACATCATCTCTTACTCCATGTTCCCTTGTTTCCCCAGACTGGCTGAGTCTAGGTGCTCGTTGCTGGGATGGCTTGTCCCAGTTGGTATTCAAGGAGGTTTGAACTCAAGGCCTGGGAACTGTCCCTGAGCACTTCTGCTCAAGGCCAGCACTGAACCACTTTGAGTTATAGTACCACTTGCAGAGTTTGGCTGGTTAGAGATGAGAGTCTTGAGCCATGCTTCCAGCCTGGCTCTTTGCAGGTTAGTTGGGAGATGGAGTCTTAGGGATTTTTCAGCCTGGGCTGGCTTTGAACTGCAATTTTTGCCACAAAAGCCCTTTATTATTTCCAATTAAAGCAACAAGGAGATCAAGTAGAATAAGTAGAGCCTACCTGGTTCTTATCAAGAATTGACCGACAAATATTCTGAAATGACAAAACTCATTAGATGTGATGAGAATTTTAGCATAGATATGCCCAGTGTTTTAGAACCATGTAGTCAGTATTAGAATACACAACACAAAACAAAAAAGGCAAAACTCAAAACCTAAAATTTTAACAACGTTTAGACATCTTTGCTAACAAAGCACATCAGATGGTTGGGCCTCAGTTACTAGGGCCTGTGAAAAGAGCAACTTGTTAGCAAGGCACCTTATAATACCTGGATGGAGTAGGAAGCTTGGTGGAAGGTTAAGGGTCAGATGGGGCCAAACCCTTAACCTACCACATGGCCAAGATGGCGAATTTCTGAAAAAATGCAAAGAAACCCTGAACAGATAGAAGATCAAGCCTACATTGGCTAGCCTTTGAGAGGGAACCTAGAAGGCGGGGGGTCCCTGGGACCCAGCCTGCGTCGCACTCTTCAGGGCACAAGCCAAAATGTAGAAAAGAGAAAGGAAGAGATAGGGAAAGTTGGACATAAATGGCAGAGAGCGAAGAGAGCCCGAAAGTAAACAGACTTCTGACCTTTTACCATTGCAGTAGCAAAAACTGTGCACATCTGAGACTGGCATAAAAGCAGTTCTTACTCGGCAACCTCTTTTTAAAAACCTAACACCTAGCCCTCCAGAGACATAGGTCAAGGATACCACCAGTGAAGAAAACCTGGGCTCAGTAGGTATCAAGTTCAATACTCTTGAATTCACTTCTACCTTATCTTACCCAGTGGAGATTTGGAGGTAGTAAATTAGCTTTGTTTTGTGATGGAACTGAACCAAAAGTGCTCCCCTTGCCTCAACTCAGACTCCTGTAGACAGAGAAATCAGAGGCAGAAGCTGCACACCACCTTCCCAAGGACATGTCAAAGGCTCTTCCATCTCCTAGGTTCCCAGTTAGAGAAATCTGCAGTTTACTTAGAGCTTTTCACTGAGAGTTTTACTCTGTGCCCTGTTTTGTTTCTTGTTTTGTTCAGTATTGGGGATCAAACCCTGACCTTGTGTGCCAATCAAGGGCTCTGCCACCAAGCCACATCCCATTCCATCCTACTAAACTTCTAACGCACAGGAAAGCACGGAGTACAGGCCTTTTGAATCTACTAGCCAACCTCAATGCACAGCACCCCAAAGTACACCATGGATTCTACTACTTCAGGCCCTCCCCCACTCTAATTCTCTCCACACTCTTCCTCATTATTTTGAAAGATTCTCAGGTGTGTTATTTTACCTGCAAATAGAACACAGCCTATTTCACTAGAACCATGGGCCCATTTTTAAATGCCCAAAGCCTATGAGAAAAGTGCTCCTGTTCCCCAATTCTGTCCAACAGACATACACAGTGTCATTGATGACCTGAGCTTCCTCCCCCTCTCCCCATACCACAGGATTGGGGTTTTAAGAGATTAAAATGTCTAACCCCTTGAATAATCCTAAAATATTAGAGGGAGCAATAAGCCCCCAAAGCAAACACACTTCAATTCAGCATGAGAGGAACTCACTTTGGGGAGTCATGTTGGATCTCTCCTCTAAGATCTCTCTGAGATGGATAGAGAAGATGTCCAGGGCATTTCCGAGCTTGGAAGAGAAGAGAGCTCACAGCTGGTCCAGGGCCTTTCTGATCTGGAACAAAACTCCAACCCCTACCCCAGTGATATAGGATACTGAATGAATCCCACCTTAGACTCACTTGGGGGAACTCTGCCCACTGACACACCCATCTCCCAGCCCTGCCCTTGATCTGCTGGTTTCACCTAAGCAGACCTTTACAAATCCTACCTTCCATGGGCATCCACAACACTAACTCTCTTCAGAAGGTTCTCATTGTTAGGGTAATGAGTCCCTTCCTGTAGTTTAGTCCACTCCTTCCCTTCATCCACAGCTTAGCATGCCCCCTTCCTAGGCAGCACTAGGCCCATTTAGTAAAGGCAGTAAATAATCAACTTCCAACCCCCTTTACCTTGGGAAGGCACTTCTCTGGGGCAGCTACCACCCTATAAGGCAACAGGAGCCCATTAGAATTACCTTCAGGTCTGGGCAGTTGCAGGACCCTTATCTACCATTTGGATAGCAGTCATAAATCCTAGTCCACATGATGAAGCCCCTGGCCCGCACTTCCACTCCAAGGTCTCTGCCTCCCTTCTAGCCCCTCCTAAACCCCCTAGGTTATATAGGTCACCCCAGACAATAGCCAGTACTTCTTCTCATTCTTCCCTTGTGAGAAGGAGTCTTGCCAGCCTCCTTTCCCAGCAATAAGCCTTTCTTTGTTCTCTGTACCTGGATGTCTGTGTGGTTCTCTGACAAAATCTATTAATCTTAATTTTGCTAACAGTGGCGCATTGGCCGGGAACTAGTTCCTCTCTCGGTGAAATTGCTCTTCCTCTCCCTTGGGCATCGTAGCTGTCCCAAGAGGCCTAGTTCCCTCCACTGTCTCTGAGGTAGTCATTCTCTCATTCCTAAATCATGACCCTAGAGGCCTGGACTTTTGCCAGATGGACCCAGCCACTACAAGCCTTCTTTTGCCCCTGAGTGGTCTCCCACATCCAATTCACTGGCCTTCATCTGCAAGGGGTAAGTGGACGTGAGATTCCTATGGTGACCATATGCCCTTTTCTCAGGCTCACAATGCAGTGGGCAGCTGTGAAAGTTGGAAAAAGGCCCACCATGTGGTCTGAGGTCAGGGCTTAGGGGGTTGGGTGATGATGCTTCCTCCTTTGCTCTGTGCCCCTTTGTGGGCATACTCTCCCCAGGAGCAGAACATTCTGGGGATGCCTGGACTGTTTTGGCCTTAGGATATGTCACCAATGGGAAATCCTCAGTCTAAGAATTCTTCCCACTCCCCTTTGGGATGCATGCTGGCCAAAGTGCTGCCTCAGGGCCTGGCTCCTGGCCTCCAGCACCGGGCAATTGTGAGACTTGACCAAGAAGGCCCACCACGTGGTCTGAGGTCGGGACTTAAGGGGGTTGGGTGACTCAGTCTCACTGTGCACCTTTAACCAAGAATGGCCTAATTACGACCTAGGGAGCCAATCCAAATGGCCAATGGCAGTCTGGATCCCGTCATCATTTGGGATTTATACAAATACTGTGAGCACTCGGGAAAGTGGAGCCAGGTACCCTATGTTTGAGCTTTTCTCTACCTCCATTCTCATCCCAAATTCTGTCTCTCCTGCTCGCCAGTGCAAGTTATGCTAGCAACTAGGCCATGGCGGCTAGAAGGCGTAGAAGCCCTTACGACCTCTGATCCTGCCAGTGAGCGTTCTCCCCACTATTGGAACCGGTCCCCTGCTAATCAACCTCGGCCACATTCCACCCTTCCCATACTTCCTTCTGTGGCTCCCAGTGCAAGCCCCCCAATTTCTCCCCCTTCCACTCCTCTACCACCACTACTGTGGCCCCTTCTCCCTTCCCCCCTCCCTCAACTCCTCCTGCCTTGGCTGGTACCAAGGTCAGGACTGGTACCAATTACGCTGCTCCTCTCCCTTCCTCTCCTTCCCCCTCCCACCATCTCTAAGGTTACCGCGCCCTCTCCCAAAGTCCCCTCTGATCCCCTCCACATGGGACTCCTGTGTCCCTCTCCCCTCCCCACCTCTCCATTCCCCACTTTCTTCCCAATCACTCCTTTCTCACTGGTCCCCTCTTTTTCCCAATCCCTCCTTTCTCTTTCTCTCTGACTCCTCATTCTCCCCCTATTCCTCCAACTCTAGTCCCCCTTCCAACTGCCCCTCCTATCACCCCAGCTCCTCCTCCATCTCCAGCCCCACCTGCCACAGTTCATTCAGCTTTTCCCCCAGCCCCTCACACCTTTTCTGCAGCAGTGCCTCCTGGTGGGGATGCCCATAATGCATCTCCTTCCCTTCCTCCCAACTTCTCTGCAGCACCTACTGAACAAATCCCACACCCTTCTCCCAACCTGACCACCACAGCTACACCATTACTCTCTTCATACCTCCTTTTTTCTTCTCCCCCCACCATTATGCTGTCTCCCCCTCCTAGTCCACAGGTAACTCGCTCTAAAGCACTTAAAACAGCCCAACATGTAGTTCAGATGCTGCCTCTTGGAGAGGTGGCAGGTGCTGAAGGTATCATGAGTTCATGTTCCATTCTCTCTTGGAGATACATCACACATACAACAACATTTGGGATTGTATACCACCAATCCAGCAACTTTTATTAAATAATTCCAATATCTTCATCCCTCTTACAGCCTTACCTTACTCGACATCCACGCCATACTAACCTCAGCCCTTCTCCCAGAGGAGCAATGATGGGTGAGGGAAAGGGCTCAGGAACATGCTAATGAGACTCATTTGACAGATCCAACCCATCCTATAAGAACAGTGGCAGTCCCGGACATAGACACCCAATGGGACTATAACTCTTCGGCATGCACAGCTGTGAGAAATTGTTTTACTACCTGTCTAGCTTTTGGCCTCTGCAAAGCTAGTTGCAAGGTGGTGAATTATGAAAAACTAACTCAAGTAATTCAGGATAAAAAAGCAAACCCATCTTCTTTTCTTCAGCACCTCACACAGACTTGTCTCCAGTACACTAACTTGGACCTGGAGACACTTGATGGCCAACAGTTAATAATGACCTATGTTTTCTTCCAATGTTCCCCAGATATTAGAGCTAAACTTAAAAAGCTGGACAAGGGACCCCTTGCTCCCCAAGCAGAGGTTCTAGAGGCAGCATTTAAGGTTTACAAGTGAGAGAGAGGAGAAATCCTGCCAGATGCTAGCTCGGGCAATCCACCAACCTGCCTCATCTGGTAACTCTCCCATCAAAGGGCCGGGACCACCAGGATAGTGCCACAGATGTAGCCAGGCTGACCACTAGGTACGTACATGTCCTGATCTTTGAACACCACTAAAGCCATGTCCTGGGTGGCACAAGAAGAGACACTGGGCAAGGGACTGTCCCAATATCATACAGGGTAATGGGTCATTCACCCCTTCACAGACCCTGCTAACCTTATAGGAATGACAACAACAATAATGCAGGCTCTCTCTCCCAGTCCACCAAGCCCATGTGTAACTACCTCCAGACTAAATTCTCCCTCTCAAGGCCAAAATGTCTTCAAACTTTCTCTCTCCTGCTCTCCTGGTGATTCCTGTGGCTGCCCGCTGCCACTGCTGCCTCTAACTTCTGAGCCCTGGCCCCTTCCAACTTCTTGGGGGTCCCAGGCACCTCTCCTCATTCCAGGCCTTGGCTGCCTCCCTCCTTTCCAAATCCTTCTATCTTCACTCTACAAACTCCTTCTGCTAACCTCTGTGCCTGCCTCCCTGCCTGCCTCTCTGTGTGGGCATAAGTCTTACATTTCCCAAGCCCCTTCTCTGGCTAACATCGTCTTCCCTTCTAGACACTAAATGAACAGGCCTCTGCCCTGTCTGTTGTTAATCCATCACTGACGGCGCTGGCTGGCTAACACACTGGGCCAGCTCCTCTCTTTTATAACTCTCTCCTTTTCCCCACTCCAAAATGTCTCCTGATTCGCTCTTCTTTGGCCACCATGGCATCCCACTTCAGCTCTCCATTGGAGCTCAATGGGTGTGTTGGTATTGTTTTTGTTCTTTCTATCCTCTCTGGCCTATTTCCTAACTGTATTAAGTATATTTATGGGCTCCAAGATTCCATCCTTCAAAATGTGGCTTCTCAAAAAATCCCACCAAAATCCCAATGCCAAAGAGGGCATCTGGGTTCCTGGTGGATGGCCTCGGGGGGACCGGCTGCCAGGTGATGGAAACCCCTACAGGGGAGGTGCACCCCCTGACAAATTTCAGGGCCTTGTGGTCATTCCACCACTCTGAGAGCCAGGTCATTGATGCTGAACATGCCATCCAAACATCTTTTTGGAGTCACTTAAAAACCTTCCAGAAGTTTGTTTCTTTGTCCGGTTTTATGTTTATCTGTTCAGTCTCCTGTCTAAAACCTGGGGATTGAGCCTTCCATGATGGAAGTTTTTTGTGCTTGGAAACATTTAGTTTTTTTTTTAACAAACAGGTGGTTCTATCATAAAATAATCCCCCCCAAATAACCCTTAAATAGCCAATATTAAAATCTAAGTGTGCTCTATGATTTGTGCACAAACATGTCTGTCTGTCTATCTATATGTACAATATGTAAAATGGTCATGGTTTCCAAGTCACCTTGCAAGTATTATGCTTGCTAAAAGATCTTTGTCAATGGAAGCTGTGATTTAATCTGAGTTGCTTTAAAACTCCTAAAACCTGACTATAAGCCAAAGGGGAAAACACAGGCAGTTTTTAAAGGTCTTAGGAAAGAAAAAATGGTTTCCTTTGAAATGTAAATTAAGTTGACTGTGATTTATGTTATTCCTTATGTCCATCTAAGCTAAAAGCTAAATGTTGTACATCTGATCATGGTTGGTAAAATAGGCTAAGGTTTTGTTTCTCCATCTTCTCTTCTGTGCACGGATCATCTCCCTTTAAGATCAAGAGACTGAATGCAGTTTGCTCCTGCACATGGGAAAAGACCTAGGAAACAAAACAAAGTTGTCACAGCTGCATAAACCAGTGGCACCAGCCTACAAAGGCCAATGTAAACCAGGTCTTTAACCAGTATGTGTAAAAATTTTTCAGGAAAACAGCAGGAGATAGGACAGTCCACACAGGCAGGGCTTAGCCCAGACCTCAGCTGTGCTCCATCACACATGACTGAAACCTGCTGATTCTGTGTGAAAAGCACAAGCCACTTCAGATCTACTGACGCTCAGACCTTTACATCATCCTGATTTGCATATGTTCCCTTCCACCTGTTGGTAATGTTAATCCCCACAAGTCAGACCATAAGTGGTGTAAGAACAAAGAATGTGATTTGATTTCTGTGCTACTTTGCAATTGGGTCTATCTCTAAAAGGAAAAAGATGTTAAGTCTAGGTTCTTGATACAGTGCTAGTTCTTGTAATTCTTGCATTAAGAAAAACTACTAGTTTTCCTAAAAGTAACTAAGACTACAGAAATTGCCCAGTATTTTAAAGGGACATCTAAATGTAGATTAATAAAGTGACTTTGGGAAAAGGGATTAAAAATGGTATCCTTTAAAAAAAAATTGGAAGTAGAGTGGCTGGCTTCCTAGAGAAAAAATTAAAAAGTAAATGTTTCAAAGCAGAAAAATATGAATTATGACTACCAAAATAATTGTTTAATGGCTGTTATAGTTTGCCCTTATAGTTTTTGTAACAGTTTCCAACAGCCCCCTGGGAAAGGACAGAGGATTCTTACAAGTTTGTCAGAGGTAACTTTGGCCCTTAATAAGTTTCAGGTAAGACCATGCTTATAAAACTACTTCCAGCAGAGCACCCAAGATGGTGATGGGACAGTAGGGAAACATCACAGCTCTCTCCAACCAAAAAGAGAGTTTGAGTTCCAAGGTTTAATTTTCCCAAGAGAACAACAACAACAAAAAGACGAACACCCAGAGAAAAACAGGAGGCGGAAAAAAAAAAGACAAGGAAGAATTTCAGGACAGAGAAGCATGAAGACCTCTCTCCCAACCCTTACTGGCTGCATGGCAATGTGCCAAGCTGCAGCCTGGTGGGGGCTGCAGGAGTCCTCAAAGACACAGGAGGTTGTCTGCATATCACCTGTGCAGAAGACGCCTGAGTTACCAGTGTCGGACCCCCTGATTGTGGTGATCAGAGAAACCTCCGAGCCAGGAGCCTGCACAAAAAACCCTCCCCCAACCCTCACTCTCAGAGCAGAGGGTCACCATCCCACCAAAGCCACTCGGCCCCATGGCAGGAACCCCAGAACTACATGGGTCGCCCACAGAACACAAGAGCAGAAGACCTGCAAGGTACTGGTACTGATCCGGAGAGCGCAAACAGAGACAAACCTCAGTGCTTAGAACCTCCATGGAGACCCCCACTCCCGCCCCTCAGCCAGAGGCTGGTGCACAGCCCACCTGGGGAAAGGGGAACAGCCCATCTCGCTGCACCGATCCAAACATCATCAACAGAGGCAAAGTCAGAGGAGAAACACGCAGAGCCACCATCTCCCAGCCCAGCCCACAAGCATCTCAACTGAACACCAATTGCAGCAGCAACCAGTGACCTACGTCACACAGAAACAACTAGCTTCAGGGTGAGTACCCGCAGGGGACAGGTATCCCTTCTCAAGGGAAACCAGAGCTGGTGGGAATCCCCAGATCTTGACCCAGACCCCTACCCCAACACCTGGACTACAGGACCCACTAAGACTGGGAACTATTTGAGAGCTCCACCAGCCCATGTAGCATATCCAGCTCACCAGGCTAGATCAAGAGCGCCCCTGGAAGGGAGCTTAAACACCCAAGCGAACAGCACCCGTGGGCTGTGTACTGAACTGTGTACTCCAGGCTGCATTACCCAGGTGGAATACACAGCAGCACAGGTACAACTGGTGTGCCCCAGGCCAGGGAACAAGAGCCAGGACCAGGCCTGGCGATTGGGTGCCTGAGCAATATAACCAACTCCTCCCAATTGAAGTCAGAATCTGAGCATATGCCTCAGCAGAGGGGGGAAAACAGGGAAGTGCACCCCCTGGGAATCATGCCCATGACAGCAAAAGACCTGGGTGTCTAGGGCAAGAGAACCAGAGGCTCAAACCCTATCAGAACCCAATCCATATATCCCAGGCTGGGAATTGGACAGCTCAGGCCACCAGCACCTGATAATAGTCAGGAGCTCAGGCTAGTAAAGTGTCTCAGCAGTAGAGTGCTTGCTTTGTGTGCATGAGGCCCTAGATCTGATTCCTCAGCATCACATAAGCAGAAAGGGCCAGAAGTGGCACTGTGGCTCAAATTGTAGGGTGCTAGCATTGAACTGAAGAGCTGAGGGACAGCACCCAGCCCCAGAGTTCAGGCCCACAACCAGCCAAAAAAAAAAAAAAATCAGGAACCCATAGCAGACTCCAGCAACTGGGAGAGCACATCCAGCATACCTAATCTCGCCAAGAGCACCTGTAGGATTAAACAGGAGCAGTCTAGGCCACTCAGTCCTTCTAAAGGTGGGAACTGCCAGTGATCTACAGCAGAGAGCCAAGAGCCCTATGTGGGTCAGACCAGCAGCTGGAGGTCGGCCTCCAACAGAACCGCGACCAGGTACAGACTCTCCGCCAAACCAGAAACAGCAACCAAGCAATGACAGACACCTATTGACCAAAACAAAATTTCAGATTAGTCTCCAATAACCCCTGAATCCCCATGCAAAAATCAGAGAAAAAT